TATCGTTTTATTTAATTCCATAATTTTAAAGGTATTTTCTTTTACGGCTGGCATTTTAACACCAAACTGAACTCCCTGATTCCCTGGCTTTGCGGTGGTAGCATAAAGAATTGAGTGAATTCCAGGAGCAAGGCCGGGAGTGACGACACGAGTACAGACTCGAGTGCGAATTCTCGACCAGCCACCAGTCTACATTGTGGATACTCCCGGTGTACTGAACCCACTGGCACGCGATGTGGACAGCGCAATGAAACTTGCACTGTGTAATTTAATCCTGGAAAGTGCAACGCAAGTCCATTACGTTGCCGATTATCTCCTTTTCTGGTTGAACAGGTCAGTTCCAGCTTTACTTTTTTAGTAAACGAATCTGCTGCTATCTCATGGAACCTTCTCAAAAGAAGCCTATTGACTATCGTGCCAAGGGAATGGTTGCTGTTGAGGAAGTGCTTTCAGCCAAGCCACTTCTCTATGCCTTTATTTTTCACCACTAAAATGCCAAGACCGCCCGGACAGTTAGCTTAAAGGACAACGTTAACAAACTGTGATGTTACTGGGATGCTCCCACACATCGCGTGCATGCTCTTCGAAGCTGCTTTGCATAACTGCGCTTAGGATCTAACTCCTATTTGATGTATGTGCGTCGTTTATGCACAGGCCATGCAGCTGCTCGATTATCTCTCCCTCAATAATAAGTGATTTTCGCCGGTTAAATGTAAGATAAGCTTGCCTATCGGCCCTACTTCCTATTTATCTGCAATACGGTTTCCACGCACTATATTGTGTGCTAATTTTAGAACAGGCGACTATTCGTACGTCAAATTTTTCAAACTAACCAACGGACCATCGGATGATATCCAGAAAGTGCTCCTCGATATATGCCAATCGAATGATATTCGTTTTCCAACTTACATTGCTCAGCGACGTGCTGAACGATGGGACATCGACCGAGCGGCCAAAATGTTCATCGAAATGTTCCGGAACAATAAGCTGCGCGATCACTGCCTCGACATCGATTTATTCCAAAACTATATTACTAAAATTATATAAATTAAATTTACTGCCGGGAAAAGCAACCGCCCGGGAGAAGCACCATCGCGAACCTGCCAGAGGAAAATTTCTCCGCACAAGCTGCCATCGCTGAGTTCCTCGCTGCTCCACCACAGCTCTTTGTAGGAAGTGGAAACACATGAATCCCAAACTGACTCAGTTTATCAGACTCGTTATCAAATAAACTATGGCACACCACACAGTAATCGATGCGATCATGCGATTTCTGGGGCTCTGTCTAACAGGCAGTTGTTGTAAGGAATATTTACTGTTTTACGGGCTGGTATTTGCAAAAATACAGGACTCCATGTACTCAAGTTTGAAACATAGGTGTACATAAGAACTAGATGTGAATTTGTAGGTCCAAAAAATTTGATAATTTCAGCTTTTTCTTGTTTGATCTCCGAACTAAAAATTCCCCGCGTAAAATCCCAAGCGTCCGAATCTAAAAAACAAGCGTACATGACCGTACAAACACACACACACACGAATAGGTGAAAGAACATGTGTTTAGTGCGGCTGTTACACAACATAACACTTCTAAAAACTGTTTGAAGAGCATAAAATTTTCCCCCGTGAAATTTTCGTTATTTTGTATGTAAGCAAGAAACACTGTTTAATTCATGCAAAAAACTGCGTACACGAGGCGCAACACAGAACTTCATAACATTTATTCTTTAAAACACGAAAAAGTTTTATCACGGCGCGGCAAGGAAAAAAAATTAAAACAGCGGTCTATTTTAAGGTTTTAGTTCAGAAACGTAGTGGCATTGTTTTCTCGTTTTCTGCTTTGTCTTTTCATTACTCTATTTTTATGTTGTACGACACATGCCCATCATATAAATGGCAACCGGGAAGCTCATTCCTTTCTTACCCGCATTTTGCGTTCGGTCTATGTTTACAGCTAAGAGATGAAACACAGACTACATCCAAACATGCTGTCTTGCATATGATACTCACCCTGGTCCCTTATCTTCTATTCACTTATTTTAGAAATTCCTTTATTTATTCGTTTCAAATCCGACAGGCGGATGCATAAAAAGCATCGCCCCGTGCTACAAAGATTTCAGATTGTCTTCCAACATTAGCATCAAATGGCACCGGCTTCCTTCAGCATCTTTTCCAGAGTTCCGTCTTTTTGCGCAGCTACTGTTTCGCTTCCACCACCAATGCATCTGCCGCCAATAAAGACACGCGGAACTGTGCGCGCGCCGCCTACTTCTTGTAAAACATCCTGAAAATCAATGATTCGGAACCTTTCTGCAATATACACATGACGAACTGACTGTACAAATTTCGCACTGATTATGGATCACAGCGAATTATTTGAGCCTAGAAGTGGACTCTTCACCTGCCATTACAACAGCGGCTTAGATCAAAAATCAATGTTTTCCTGAGTCGAAGTGTCTTCACTGTAAAGTTTCCTTTTTCACAGCATGAAAATTAAAGTAAAAAGGTGCTACCTGTATTTGATCGCAATCTGGTCGTCCATCTAACTCAACAATTTTGTACTGTTTTTCAGGAATTCGGTACGCGCTCAGAGCTCTTTTTGCATTCCTGTAAAAATATCATCTAAAAAGTAGCCAATCACAGCAAAAAACAAACTCGACAGATGAACTGTATGTGAAAATTATACAAAAATGCCAAGACTACTTAGAACATCGATAAGCAGATCCTGTGTATCTCCAAAATTTTGGGCGCAGCTATGCCAAGACCTTTGACCCACTGCCCGTCCAGTGTATATGCGAGGAAAATCAATCTGTGCGGTTACGAGGTTTTAGCAGCGACCACTTGTTGAAAAGCCTGTCGATGAATCCTTCTTTCAAAGCAAGCTGATGGCGGACTCGATTCTCTAACATAAACTAATACTGACTTTGCTCCCCTACCAAAAATGCGCCATCCCAAGGTTTACCAAGCAAATCACCTTTTTTTTTCGAAAAAACATACCTACAGTACGGGCAGTAACTTTTGCTGAAAACAACGACCGGCGCAGACTTGATTAAATCTGTTACAAACGTTCGAGGATCCACGCCCGATGTTGGCGTTTCAGAGCAAACCTAAAAAATGAAAATGATGCACGTTCCCAATGCTTCCTTGACAAGTTGCTCTCTTTATTCGATTTCTCAACAAATGCGTCGGGTTCTACAACCCAAATTTGTCTTTGCAGTCTCTCTGTACCGTTACTTTCAATAATTTCGTAATTCAGTGACGGTGAAGCTCTTACAGGTTCGGAGACCATAGCTTTCGTCTCTCCTATTCACCACATTCTCCTCGCTTCTTCCCCTCACACCTCAGCTGCACTAGCAAACTAATGGGTTTCATTAAAGCTGTTAAAATTTAGTTTTGCAGGCTGTTACCCTCAAAGGAACTTAACAAATTAAACCCTTCCTTCCCTTTGACATCCAGAATCAGCCACGAATACCATTCGAACAAAAACACAAACACACACGGCCCTGCCAATCATTATGCGTAAGAGGCAATGAATGAACTGGTGAAAGCTTAAAACGAAAGACTAACATTAGCGGTATGGCCACCAGAAAGATTAGCTTTCTCCATTGCTTCTTCGAGCTTTCTCTGCTTCGCTTCTTCCAAACGTTCCTGTGCTTTGGCTGCTTCAATTTGCAGTTCTCGTTGCGCCCGTTCACGTGCCGCTCGGACTCTTTCTTCGTACGCTGCTTGTAAATCCGCGTCTGTAAGGCTTTTTATGCACCATTTCAACGAATTGCTTCGCAAAGGTAGGGAAGAAATAAGTTAGTGTGTCCGTTTTTATGCGTTTTTGCCGTGCAGCGCTAGAGCGCTGCAACAGGCAGCAAAAACACATACTGCAACGACCCTGTCAGTGTGTGTGTGTGTGTTCGTCTGTCCGGGTATTTC